TTAGGCTTCGAACAACTGATTTGCAGGCCCAAACAAAAGAAAAAGAAGTTGTGTGAATCGAAGGATGCAGGCTTCGATACACACTGCTTGACAGTCCCAAATGATAGAAAACAAAAAAAGATATGAATCGAAGGTTGTATGCTTCGATACACACTGATTTGCAGGCCCAAACGAAAGAAAGCAAAAGGTGTGTGTGAATCGAAGGACACGTTCTTTGAACGTGCTGCATGAATCGAAAGACTTGTTCTTTCTCTCTTTTGTGCTATTTGTTGTCTTTATATTTTCTATATATTTTCTTTCATTGCTATTTAATATGGTTGTAATAATTAGGACTTTTATTGCTTTCCACCCCCCATTTGTAAATTTGTATACCCCATCCCCAAAATATATAATAGTGTAGGACATTTATTTTTCTGCAATTTACCGCTTTTATATAAAATGCTAGTAATTAGTTTGTGTATGGAAAGAGTTAAAATCAACAAGTAGACAATCCTAATCAAAGACAAAAATGCATGCAATCAAACACATTATTCACACGCGTACCTCTAGGGTAATCTCACTTGTTGCCTCAGAAAATAGTCGTATCCCTCGAATATGGGCGTTTTAGCAAAGACCCTCGATAAAAAAAGATCGTAATCCCTCGATGTCCCTCGATGTTGCCTTCGGTAAATGATCTAGTCCCTTATGAAAATTGCTAAAACGTCTCATAAGTTGCCTTCTATGACTATACGATTGACCCACGTCCGTCCCTTCACATCCAACAACGGGGCTTCTTACCAATCAATGGTAAGATAGCAACATTTAAAAGAGGAGGAAAAGAACATAGACCTTTTGAGTAGGTATGACGCTCGTAATTGCTTGCCCTTAAACTAAAACCATTTCCACACTTACACTTTCAAAACATCTTCAAAAACAAACATCTCTTTGAACTACTTTCAAAACCAACACTTTGTACGCATTCTTATAGAGACGAAAATCATTACAAAGTTAGTCAAAACAAATGTGTTTTCAAAATACTTTCAAACTTACACACATCACAAAATACATTTTCAAACAAAGCAAAAATAATCTAGCAAGCAACTAAGAGCCCGTAGATAACTACGGATGAAAAGGGTGCTAACACCTTCCATTTTCATAACCTACCCCCCGAACTCAAGAAAATAATCTCAAAGGTCTTTCTTGTTCTTTTCACCCTTTCCTTTATTGGATAAAAGAAAAGTCGGTGGCGACTCTTGATATCAGCAACAATTACAACAAAATACAAAACACCCAAGTCAGCTCTCCCACCGTATTACAATTCCAAAAGCACGACATGACATATTAGTAGAAGCAATCAGAACAGATGAGCATGATGGGTGTTTCTATGGTGTTGGAGAAGGTGTCGGCTTGGGGTCATTCTTTGGGTCTCAAAGAAAAAGTACCGAAAGCCCGAAATTTAATGCAAAAAGACAAAAGATTGAGAATATTGAGAAGCAATTAAAAGAACAAAAGAGGATGTTGAAGAGGAGAGGGAAAAAGGGAGAAAGATATGGAAAGGTTTCAAGAGTTATATCCGGTATGTGCTTTACTTGAGATGTTAGTGTTTTATCGGAAATGTATGATATATATTGTGCTTATTTTTGTTTTATGTTCTAATTGAATATTATGATGTAGAGATTAAGTGAAAACCTCGAACAACGTATAAATGAATATCAATGTTATATTGATGTTGATGATGATGGTGATCAAACTCTAAGTAGAAGTGTTGTACTTTGTGCTTCTACAAAAGGAAGTAATTGTTCAGCCCCTTCCCCTCTCCAGATAACCTCAACGGGTTAATGGAACCTAATTCAAATGAAATCACCATGTTATACGTAAACATTACGGTGATAAATAATACACAACCTCTCCCGCTAAAACATTGTATATATTTTGATTTATTCTATTACATTCCTGAAGATGTAAGGGATTTTCTCGGTGGATATAAGTGGTTGCACGTAGGGATATTGCAAGTTTGGTACACGTAAGTATATAGTTGAATATACATATCATTGTAGAACATTATTATTTTTTTATATTTCATCCCTTAATTTATTCATTTTCTTTAACCATTTAGGTACATTTACCGTATTTGTATAGATTTAAATAAATCGAGTATTTATGGAATTTTAGATCCGCGTTTTACTCGATGGGCGTTTAATCAACTAAAAACATTCAAGAGTACTTGAAAAAATAATTAAATGAGGGAGGAAAAGAAAGTTACTTCGCACCATTTCTTTGTTCGTAAGTATTTTTGTAATTGATGTTTATGTATTCTATATATAGTTTTATTTTAGCAAATACTAATAATATATATGCTCATATTTATTTAGTGGTCATTGGCAATTGATTATAATATCATTTAAGACGAATATGGTAACTGTACTGTGTTCCTTGCATGATCCACTCGAAAAGAAAATGAAAGAGATTATTGATTTGTAAGTGTATGTTTAATTCATTTTCTTTGGCATCATAATTAGTTTATCATGTAATATGTTTAATTCATTTATAATATACAGTATTGTGGAGCAAGTAAATATGATAAACAATGTTAGAAGAAAGCCCTCATGGATCTTTCCTAAAGTAATTGGCCCGATGACCTGTTTCTTTCATTTACATTCATGTGTAGTTATATTCATATAATTATTGCTTAAATTTGTAGACAAGGAGACAACTCGAGAATTACGAGTGTGAGTATTATGTCATGTAACACATGTTAAATATTGTCATTGCCGAAATTGTTGATTCATAGGATAAGGTATATATGTCATAAAATATTTACATATATTAATATACAAGTTGACTTTTGAATTATTATCATGCATGATATTCACTTTTTTTCTCTTTCTTACATAGATGTTTAACGACGTAATCCCATTCCCTGTTGAGGACTTTATAGATCTTTGTAAACGTTGGGCGTATATCCACAATGTGCTTAAGGGTCCTGCTGATTGATTTATTGAGGTGCTAATGGCTTATTTTCTGTATTGATGATGTGAATATTACTTTTGACTTAAATATATTGTGTTTGATGTAAATATTAATTTTGGATTTTGATGCACAATGTTAGTTGTTTATGCTTTTTATGTATGGTTAACAAAAATATGGTTGTTGTAATTCTCTGATATGGTTATAATAGTTACAGGATAAAAAATGAGAAGAATTTGAGAAGCAGAGAATTGCATATTTAAAACAGAAATGTTTTGACAGCGGTTATAAAACGTAACTGTGATTGTATATTGAACGCTGACCAGAATAATATAAATTACAAAATATTGATGATGAGAATCGATCCTGGGACCTTTAGTTATATCACAACAGTTGAGTTAACTAACCATTGTGATATGGCGTGCACTTTCTAGAATACAACAACGCTCCCAGGACCGTGATTGTAAGTACCACATATACAACTACACCATACATGATAACGCCTGGTCCCGCATTGTTATATATCTTTCCCAACCATTGTTAAATGCCTTTTTTGTAGTAGTACATCTTTCTCCTTTGATCTCTATCAGTCAGGATATAACATTTACTCACAAAAACATGAAAGTATTTAACACTAGGTTTTATTCCTTTCAACAATTCATAAAGAGTGGAAGATGTACCTGTCCTCAAAGTAACACGATTGTGAATGTAATATGCAGTGTTCATAGCTTCAGCCTAAAAATGGCAAGGAAGGTTTTTGGCATGTATCATGACTCTAACAGATTCTTGTAAGGTTATATTCTTGCGCTCTACCACCCCATTTTGCTAAAGAGTGATGGGATATAAGAACTCATGACTAACACTTTCAGAAGATCAAAATTTAGAGAATTTGGAATTCTCAACCTCCTTTCCATGGTCACTTCTGATTATAACAATTACACTACCATTCTCTCTTTGCAAGCATTGACATAACTCTTTGAAGACCTCAAAAGTGTTTGATTTTTCTTTGATGAAGTTCACCCAAGTAAACCTTGAAAAGTCATCAACAACCACATAGACATACCTTTTTCCACCAATACTTTCAACCTGCATAGGTCCCATCAAATCCATGTGAAGAAGTTCTAACACATTAGAAGTAGTATGATGTTGTAACTTTGAGTGTGACATCTTGATTTTCTTCTCAATTTGACACTCACCACATTACCCTCCTCAATTTTGAGCTTTTGTAGGCCTTTAATAGCTTCTATACATATAATCTTCTCCATACCTTTGAGATTTAGATGTCCAAACTTCTGATGCCACAACTTGACTTCATCTTCGTTGGTCATTAAACATGTGGAAGAGCATGTAGTTTCTTGAGGTATCCATAAATAATAATTGTCTTTATACCTAACTCCTTTCATCAGAACATCATTCTTTTCATTTTTGACCAAACACTCTGATTTTATAAAGTTAACATTCAAGCCTTGATCACATAACTGACTAATGCTAATAAGATTTACAATCAATCTCTTTACAAGAAGAATATCTTCTAGACTAGGAAGTCCAGTATAAACTATATTTCCTACTCCCTTAATTTCACCTTTAACTCTATCACCAAATGTGACAAAACTGGTTGAATAAAAGTTTAGAATTTAACACAGTTTCCTTATTTTGAAGATCAGAGGTAATGGATAAAAGTTTCACTTTTTTACTTTCTAGTTGAGCTATGATTCTCTTATGTTCCTCTTCTGTCTTACAACTCTCTTCACATCAGACACATGACTTTTTGTAAGTGTCATACTTCAAATTTGATTGTCCTATTTCTACCGTCAAATAATTTTTAAAATTGATTTTCTAAATTTATTTGATTTACTTGCACTAATATTTTAGATTTTATAAATATTAATTTTCAATTATTTTACTTATTTAAAAAATATATAATAATTTATTTTAAATTATTTGAATTTTTAAATAGCAAAAATTTGTTAATTCTTCTTATACTTTCAATTGATTCTTAAATAGCAACATTAACTTTACACCAAGATTACAACAACATTTTGTTGGTTTTTTTTTCATTTTTTTTTCAGAACATGCATCAATGAGGCAACAACAAGATCGCAATAGTAGAAAAAAGTAAAGAAAATCGAAGACACAAAGTAACCACGACACGCACCACGCGTAACTTCAGTACTCGGTTCCGGCGACACAGACTGCCAGCGGCCGGAGTCCACGACCACCGCTCCAAAATCGCACCCAGCTGGAGATCTCCTCTGATTTCGTTCCAGATTCGCAACCGGTACAACGAAGCCTCCTCCACGATGCCTCTGTGCGGATTTCCGGTCACGGTCCATCCGCCATCTCCGCGCTACACCGTTAGTTTTCTTTCATCTTTTAATTTCATGAGTTGTTTATTACTAGTACTTGTTTGGATTCCTTATTTTTCTATTTGAATGAAAGAAAAAGAAGTTGTGTTGTTGTTGTTTTAAGGGAGAAAGAAGTGAGACATTGAAAGAAAGAGTGAAAAGACCGTGGGGTGAGAGAGAATGGGTTTTCCTGTTAATATTTTTATAGCTCTAATGTTAATTATAATGTGTAGGCATTGTTTTCTATTTTGTTAATTTTAATTTTAAATCATTGCCATATGTTACCACCTAATTGGTTCCTTATCCTAATTGAAAGGTAAAATTAATGACTTAGTTTCATGGAAAAGGTGGAATCACGAGAATAAAAGAGCGACCCCTCATTGTCAAATTAATTAGTATTAGTTGAATAACCTAATTTATTAGGTCATCAAATATTTGATTTTAATTTATATAAAGTACAAAAACTTCTCAAATTAATTAGTATTAGTTGAATAACCTAATTTATTAGGTCATCAAATATTTGATTTTAATTTATATAAAGTACAAAAACATGTCTTTAGTCTCTTTTCCTTGCGTGTATAATACAAGTTTTTCCGGTTAAATCAAGACTCTCCTCTCACTTGTAAATCATCGCTAATCACATTATCAAATGTTTTTTAACTAATTAATTATATATTTTTTTACAAATAATAGGATGTATATTCTCGAGTAATCAATTGATCAGCTTAATGTTTATCGATTAATTGTTCAAAATCATATATCTAAAAATCACCGACAAATCAAATAAATTTCTTCGCTCCACGCGATTTAATTCTAATAAGGATCAACTCCTTATAAACGTCAATTACTTCGCCCAGTGCAATTTAATTCCAAAGAAGATCAACTCTTATTCAACCAATCAAAACTTCATCTAAAACAGCTAACCAACTATCAAAAATATTTTCCTACTAACATAATAAAAATCCAAGAGATTTTTAAAAAAGGATTGAATAACATTGCCTTCAAACTTAACTGCGAACTGCGTCTACGATTACTCAACTTACAAACCAGACAAAGTTCAGGGATAATTCGAAAGCAATTATAGGCAATCCTATAAAAAACACCAACCAAACACCACACGAACTACGAAATTGGACTCCAATTCTTCACAGAGAGATACGTAGGCACGCGGCTTAAAAGCCAAGGCGAGTCCCTTAATTAAAAAAATTAAATTCTTTTCTTAAGTATATGGAAATAACAAACATAATTAAATAGAAATTCCCAATATACCCTTAGACCTAGAAGAAGAGCCCATTGAGAACAAGGGAGATGAAGGGTGCCTAATACCTTCCCTTCGTCTAATCAACTCACGAATTTAGAATCTCGGTACAAATTAGGATTGTCCATTATTTCTCCATCCTTAGGATAAACATTAATGCTGGCGTCTCTCAAACTTTTTGCCGGTTATGATAGTAATACACATCCAGATCTTCATAAAGGACATTATCATCACAAGATTCTTCATCAGATCCCCATCTGCCAATGAGAGCAATAATATGCTTAGTAGTCTCAACATTAGGCTCACCTTCAGACTCATCATCATCAGACCAAGACACAAAATCCCTTCTTTTGTTTCTTGAGATGGGTGGGACATTCTGACCTAATATGACCAAAACCTTCACATTCATGACACTGAATATATTTTCCTTGATTAAGGTTGTCTTTTGTTCTTCCTTTTCTCTGAAAGTCATTATTCTTGTTGATGTTGAATGACATGTCCTTGACATTTGATCTTTGTTGCCTATCCATTCTCTTCATAACCCTATTGAATTACCTCCCAAGGACCACAATAGCATTAGAAATACCTTCATCAGTCTCCAAGTCATTTTGATCTTTTTTATCATCACTATTGGAGATAAAAGTTATGCTTTTGTTCTTCTTTTGTGATCTCTCATTAATAGGCAATTCAAAGGTTTGGAGAGACCCAATCAGCTCTTCCACTTTAAAGTTTCAAATATCTTAGGATTCTTCTATGGATGTGACCTTCATGTCAAACTTCTTTTGTGTAGACCTGGGGATTTTCTAACAATCTTTTCTTCTGACATCTTCTCTCCTAAGACATTGGATGCATTTCCAATGTCAACAATACTCATGTGAAATCATGAATACACTCATCATCTTTCATCCTAAGATTTTCAAACTTTGTAGTGAGAAGTTAAAGTCTTGACATTTTGACTTTTGATGTGCCTTCATGAGTGGTTTTAAGAATTTCCCATGCATCTTTGTCTACGATATAGGTGTTTATTAACCCGAATATATTTTGGTCAACCCCATTGAATAAAGCATTCAAAGTTTTAGATTTCCCATGAGCAAGTTCATCTTCTTTCTTAGACCAGTCTTTTTCTGGATTTAAATTAGTAGTATCATTCCCATCTTTGTCTGTCAACATAGGATGAACCCAATCTTTGACAACAACTTTCCAGGTTTTGTTATTAATAGATTTTAGAAAGACAATCATATGCACTTTTCAGTAGTCATAGTTGGTGTCATCCAACATTGGTGGTCTGTTAGTATTTCCTCTTTCCTTGTCCATAGTGTCAGACAATGTCTTTCATGGAGTTCACCCAAAACATAACAGTGTGCCTGCTCTGATGTCAATTGAAATTCTGGAACTTCACAAAATAGATGTCAAATACAATGTTAAGACATCATAGACCAGACAGTTAACAAAATAAGAAATAATGCAGGAAGTAAATAACACGCTTCAATTTTTAACCCAGTTCAGAGCAACTTCAATTACATCTGGGGGCATCTAAGTCAGGAAGGAAATCCACTATAATAGTATTAGTTTGAAATTCTGAACAACCCATGTTTTACAAAATTCTCACATAATCACTACGCATGTAATTTCTACCTAGGAACTCCTAGATATGAGACCCCTCTCACTTCCCCCCATTCACACAACAATGAGAATTACAACAAAAACAATAACAATAGAAGATACACTTCCAATGAAACACAATACGTTATTGCTTAATAGCTTATACGTGGTTCACAAATTATAACTCAACTAAAGAGGCCAACTCATGTTTCAACAAGATACAAGAGTGGCTCACAATAAACAATGAACAATGAATAATAAATAGACGAAACCCTAAAGATATTCTATGCATCTCTGCAAATCCTTTAGGTTTAGAACCTTTCTTTTTATAGCCACAAAAACGTCTGGGCTTGGATATTAAATATAGTCAAATCAAATAATCTTCAAATCAGATATTTTGGTGTAGAAAATAAAGTTCTCATTAATGTTTTGACATTCAATCTTAAGAACTAAATCTTTAGATATTTCTGGCTTGAAACAAATCGTCAGAAAATCCAATCTTCAGATGCGCAGCTTGATCCACACGAAACCAAAATCAAATCTTCTGAAAATATCAGAAACAAATCTTCTACAAACTGAAATAATACAGGTTGTGATATCATAGCAACATGTCACGATATTTTGTACAACATCTTGTTGAATATATTATTTTACCAAAATGCAGCCAATAAACCAAAATCTAACAATAAGAAATTGCATATTCTTATCACTTTATATTTTCATTGATGATATTATTTTTTGATCCTCTGATGAATCTATATACAAAGGATTTGTTAGTACCATGCAGGGAGAGTTTGAAATGTCAATGATGGAAAAGCTAAATTATTTATTATAATGGTAAATCAAGTAAACAGAAACTGGCGCGTTCATCAGTCACACAGAGTATTGCTAGGAGATCCTAAAGAAATTTCAAAGATTCAAAGATAATTTCTACACCCATGGCTTCAAATTTGCTAATTGATAAGATGAACAAGACATTGAGACCGAGATTACCAAATATAGAGGTATCATAGGATATTTACCATATTTAACTGCATGTAGTCCAAATATTATGTTTAGCATGTGCATGTGTGCTCAACTTCAAGCATCACCGATGGAATCCTACTTTAAGATTGATAAAATAATTTTAAGCTATCTTAACAGAACCTTGCATCACATCCTTTGGTTTTTCAAGGGAAGCGAGTGTAGCTTAGTAGAATTCGATGATTCTGACTGTGATGGTTATAAATCGGATAATGAGAGTACTAGTGGTACTTCCCATTTGTTTGGAAATGTTTTAGTTTCTTGACATAGTAGATGCATCATAGCATTTCTCTTTCTACCTTTGAGGTTGAATACGTAATTGCTTGTAACTCTTGTGTGCAATTCATATGGCTAGAGCAACAACTATGTGATTACGATTTAAACCTCAAATGTGTTCCAGTCGAATGTGATAGCACTAGCATTCCCAATCTTATTAAGAATCATGTACTATATTCAAGCTCTATGCATGTAAGAATTTGACACCATTTCCTTATAGATCACGTTGAAAAGAGTGATGTGATTTTTGAATACGTGAATACTAAAAATTAGTTAGCTAATAATTTTTACAAAGTCTTTATCCATAGAGTTTTTTCACAATATTTATAAAAAACTAGGAATCTTGGATTGTTCGTATTATAAATATATTCATATTATATTTCATTTTATTTTGTTATATATTTTATTATAAACTTACATTTTATATGTAGAAAGATACTCCCAATAAACTCTATTGGTATGATCCCTTCAATATTTATATTCATTTGTATTATTTTCTTAATTTGTTCTATATGTCTATGCGCGTACATTTTATATGGTCCTTTACGTTCATAATTTTTTAGTTGTTGAATGATTCTTTGTTCTGCATTTAAAACCTTTTTAAGTACATATTTTTTATATGTGTATTTTGAACATCTTTTTGAATTATTCACGCAATATTTAGTCTTTCAATTCTATATGTCTTAATCACTTGAAGTTTTGTTGTTGCTTGTTTTAAGTTGTATTATGCATATTTTTTTGCACTTGGCATGTGTTGTATCTTGTGTATTTATGATATATTCTTCTTATATGATGTATATCCTTCTTAGCTATGTTTAACTTTGTTTTTTTAAATTATTTTCCATGTCGTTGGTTGTACTCACTACAAGTACAAATGTTTGACAACCCTTATTGGATAAAGATTATTAGAGGCTTTAAAGTTGTTAGGGTATTGAAAGAAAGCTCACGTGAGGTGATAAGCTATTGTATCTGTGTATTTCTATTTTTGTTATTATCATCCCTCTTCAATATTATGATACTAATGTATTTATAGTTTCAAAGGTCTAAAAACAGGTCTACCTATAATTTAGAAACCACTTCAAGCATGGGTGGTCAATTCCCTAAAATATAGTAGGTGTAGTTAAGTCCAATGACTTTCTATGTAATGTGGGTTAACCTAGTATATGCTCTACATAGGATCACACATTATGGACAAAAAAATTAGAGGTACAAGCCACACTTTTGGGCAAGGGCGCTCGAACCTAAAGGGATGTACCTGAATAGTGAAAGGGTGATTCAGTAAGGAAGGGGGACCTGGTGTGTGATCCTATACCACTAAATAGTCCCTCAAGCACGAGGGCTCATAGAGGCCAAAGTGTTTTAACCTCTGACTCATCTTTGGATCTTCTTAAAAACCCTTGTCGAGGCTTTACTCCTCCCTTTAAGTCTTTAATGATCCTTCTGGGAGATATTTGGTCCATTCACTCAGGTGATACTTAGTCGAGTCCCTCATGCTAGACTTAGTCGAGTCTCTCGAGTGAGACTTAAAATATGAGGCATCACCTTGTGTGTGGTTGGGCTTAGAGCATGCACCCGAGTGTTAGTGATGCAACCCACATGTAAGTTGTGGGAATTTGAACGTCAATCACTAAAAGAAATTGAATGTTAGTCAACTGAGAAGGAATTAAGTGTCTATTAGGTAAAATGTGTGTTGCATTAAATACAATTGATGATGACTTTTCTTTGGAAGCCAAAGAGTTATTAATTGCTTTTCCCCTATAACTCTCGTGCTTGAGGAACTGTGAATTGGCATGTCTGTAAAGACCCTTGTATGTATATACAGAGTCTGCTATGTTTATAAAGACCTAAAACGGATACACATTATCCCTAATCACTTTGCCCATACAGTCTTCATGCTCGAGGAACTGTGTACCACCACGTTTTCTTGCTTAATCACTTTTCCCTGCATGCCTCGTTATTAATCGATATAATTACGTATCACTCATCAACACCGCTTATGTCTAACCGGTGTTGTGGTTTTTACCATATTGTTTAATCGATTATCTATCAACCTATTAAGAAATACAATAACATTAAGACTTGATACAAGTGAATATCAAACTCAAAATCTTGTCTAGACTTTGGTATTTAATAGATGATAATCTTAGGTCAAGACTTGAAAGATATTTCTTAATAATGATTCAAACCATAAATATAACATACAAGCCAAGATAATCATCTATATTTATTCAAAACTAGTTCACATAACAAGAATAAAAAGAAATACTATACTAGTCCGGTCAACTACATCTAATCCAAACACAAGGGGTTTAGTTATTACATCATCATGGTACCTTGGTTCAAAAGAAATGAAAGGAGATGAATAAACATCTAAGTTGAATTATCGATCAAGGTTGTGTATTCAGCTCTGATTATTCGATTATGAGTTTTTGAAGTATTTTTCTCTCTCAAGGAGTTTCAAGGGTAAAAATCATGTACAAGAACTAGTAGTGCACAAAAAATTTGTTTCTGGACCTATTTATAGAATTTCTGTTTTTCTATTCTCGCTCGGCGAGCTAAAGTCTCGTCTGACGAACTCTACTTTTGCCAAGCCTTTGCCAGCGCACAACACTCAAACCGCCATTTGGAAAATATCATGCGTCTCCCAGCAAACTCAAGTCTCGCCTGACGAGCTTCACGCTTCAAGTCTCGCCCAACGACCATGCCACTTTTTTCACTGGAAAGTTTATGTTTTGTCTCGCCCTGACCTCGTTATGGCCTCGTTGGGCGAGCTCGCCCCTAGCTCGCTTGGCGAGCTAGCTTGAATTCCTCTTCTTTTTCTTTGTGTCTTCTTCTTTGGTTTGTATCTTTTTCATTGGTTTGTTGCAAGGATTTGTTGCGCACTTAACACAAAAATAAAAAAACACCACAACCAAATACACATAAGCTACAATCTAGCAAACATGAGGAAATAATTGATCGAAATCATGAACGGAGCTTAAAAATGCCAAGTTTTCATGTGGATTTAAAGTCATAATTGTCACTTATCAAACTCTCCCCAACTTGAATCTTTTTTGTCCCCAATCAAAGTTTAAACTCTTTCAAAACAAAAAGAACTTCTAAGCATCAAAATCAATAAGAGAAAAATGTACGGTTCAAATTTAACGGACGCACACATACAGGTAATGCTCAATCACTTCCTAAAATCAAAACATGATTATGAATTGAGTTCAAACACAAATATCATGTTATACATTCTCAAACAACAACGTTTTCATACTTGAATCACCTTAACCCTCTCTTCATCAAATGAATGAAGAATATTTTGAACTTAATCAAATAGGGCAAACACTTTCATCTAATAACCTTGCTAACATTCTGATCAATTTATGCATTCATATGAATAATCATTATGAAATCATAAAAGCATAGAACACTAAGGGCTTTTCAAGGTTGTAGCTTGGTCGGGTTTCACAACAAAGGGTCATTTATGAGGTTTTTGAAACAAAATTGGTTTAAAACCATGAAGAACATTTCAAGTTAATATACAATAAACTCTTGTTCTTTTCTCATTTTCTTTTCCACCCTTCAATCTCTTTTGAAATATAGTGCAATCTTTTTCTTTCTTCTCAATTTTCTTTTGGTTCTCTTTTTTTCTCAACGATGCACTGTTCCACCATTTTTCTTTTTCTTTTTTCAATATAACAACTTCTCCCCAACTTTAAACATTTCTTTCTTTTTCTTTTCAAAAACATCTTCATTTTTTTTGTTCTTTTCAACAAAGTTGAGTTATGTAAAATTGGAATGAATCAATGACGATCCTTTTTAGTGATAAGCAACAAATTCACTAAGTGGTATACTTAGTGATTTATTGGATTTTACAATGGATTCATTCAAGACTTTTATGACTCAAAGGGGTTCACAAATACTCACTCTCTCACAAGGTAAAATGAAGTCATTTTTTGATTTGGTAGTATTTCTCATCATAAAAAAAATGCATCGATCATTTCCATGCTTTCACAAATTCATAACAAATGCAAGATTTACCATGAATCAACCGAGTTAAAACAAGAGTTACTAATCATCCTTAGAAATTTAGTAAACAATGAAAAATTTACTCACAATTTCTAGTTTAGATCTAAGTGATTCAAGCAATTGAAACAATTTTTTGCAAAATGATGCAGGAAATGATTTTGTATAAAACACAAAGTTCAAAATCATACTAACATTCTACAAAGCGATAAGCATGTACCTTTCTTGCATGTTTCTCATGAAAATTTCTATAATCACCACTACATTTTTGTGTTGACATGCTAAGAAACTTGCTTGATTCTTCCTTTGCTTGTTTAAGCAAGTTATAAACTAATCACAAAGACAAACTCAAAACTTTCTTTGTTAAAAAAACTTAAACACAAAACTATACTTACTAATTATTTAAACAAAAACTTATAATTAACTTAACACATCCAAAGTTTACGGTGTAAACACCGACAAAAAAATACTCCAATAGGAATCAAAAGTAATAATACAAATTCCCAAAACAATTCAAACTACAAATGAAATATAAACATAAAAATATAAAGAAATAATGACCATAAAGCTAAAAAAAAATTATTTTCTTTGTTGCAAGCTTTCCATCATTGTTACCTCGCACTAACTCTTCATATCATCATCAAAACTCGAATCACCAACACCATCATCACTGACACCATCCTCCTCAGCTGCCTCCACCAAATAAAATGGTTTGTTCTCAGGCCAATCACAATGCTTCTGAAACTCTTCTTGAGTAGCAAGCGGGCAATCAACACTCGACACTCGGCTCTCTGATCTAAAGCTGCAACTGATGCATAGAATTATGCATAAATATGAAAGCTCTTTTGTTAGCCTCCAGTATGTCCCAAATGTAGGTGTAAGCTGTTAAACCGTTAAACTTCTAGAAAGTACTCAAAAGAATAAGGGCAAGCTCAAGCCTAACACGGGCGGGCTGAAGCCCAACACGACGAGCTCAAGCCTGACATGGACAGATTCAAGTCCAACATAGACAAAAGCTATACATCCAATTTATAATGGTAACGTATAAAGACACGTTATGGCGAACTTAATAGGATTCCTCGATCATTGCCATACTTTGCTAATTTAAAGAACGATTTCACCCTATTTTTCCACTAATAGACATGGCTGGTCCGGATTTTTTTGAAGCCTTGAACAAATAATAAAATTTGAGCTCTAAAATTGGTGACGGTGCAGTGTGGTGGTGATGTAGTAGTTGGCGCGTGAGAGACAAAAGTTCTGACGTTGAAGTATTAATATTAAATTTCTTAAGTTTTAATTTAATGTTGTAAAATAAAATTTAATAATATATATTTTATAAAATAAATAAAAATAATAGAACTAGACACAAATAATAATATATTATATTTTATCATATAAACTTAATAATAAATTAATTTTTTAATTTTTTTTTTCTAATTTTATGTATTTAACTCTAATCTTATATTTATTTTACTCTAAACGATTTGATGCATATATATTTGTTTTTACGTAAGTTGCTTTTCATGTAAAATAAATATATGAAATTGTAAAAACAATAGCAGTATCAAACAAAACTATCATATGGTCTTAAAGAACAACTTTCACCGCTAAGGTGCAACTACATAATGATATAAATTGGAAATTTCTGATTCCATTCTATAATCAAAAGAAAGATTATATATAATTCTTAAAATACCTCTTAAAAATTTTTAAAAAAAAATTGATATACATCTTTTTTAAGTTATATTTATATAAAATCTAAAATAAATTTCTAATAAAAACTGAAAATGTATTTTCAATTTCTAATAAATCTTGCAGTGAATTGTTACGTTAGATAACAACAATATTATCCTTTATTTTTTAAATAGTAAAATGGATTTAAAAAATTCAAGATCAACCGAGCCGGAATGTTCGAGATAGAGAAAGTGAAAGGTAGAAGTCCATATGGTGCTTCAAGGTAGTCGAGCGAACTTGCATTAAAGCAAACATTTCATCAAGGAAAATATCTTGTCACCTCACAAAGAAATTCAAGGAAGCCGTGTATTGTTGATTTTATATATAGATAGTATACTATATATTAAACTACAGTAAAATATTGCTTGAAAAATGTTATCTTTTACCATTTTTTAGATTTGAAATTTTTTTTTCTTCTCCCAATTTTTAGAAAGTATTTATATGTGTTACGTGATGCAGTGATTGTTTTAATTAAACATCAAAAATATATTTTTAATTTATATCGAAAGTGTATTTTCAAAATAAATTTTATTGTATAATAGACGAATCTTAAAAACGAATGAAATTTATATATAAGTGCGAATCAAAAATACATTTTTAATTTTTAATAATATTTTTAAAATTTTATATAATACATTAAAAAGAATATCATAGAATAAGAAATTTTGTATAAATTTACATACGTACTATATATATTATTTATCTGGCCCAAAATCGGCCCTGCTAATAGATCAAACCTAATAAATATAAGAAACTAACAAATCAGTCTCTCTCTTAAAGAAGTTGGAATTCTGAATAGGATATCTCATAGCTGAAAAAAGAAAGACACTTATCCATCGCAGACATGATTCCCTATATTGTATAAACTTAAATTTTTTGTCTTTAATTTGAAATAGAATTTTAAATTCCGGAGCATTTTAAGGAAATTAGATAACAACCCCTAAAATTTAAGAATTTAGTGTAGTATTTTAACATTTTCTACTATATTCTACTTAAGTTTGGTCTTTGGGTCTTTTTCGAAAGATTTTATACAATAAATATCTAAACTCGTAATCAAAGATTTAGGCTAGTCAACTTTAAAAAAATATATTTTTTTATTTGATATTTTTGAAAATAGATTTTACAAAATCGTTTTTAAAAATATTATAAGTTTTTTTTATTTATTTTTTTAAATTAAAATACTAATTTTGATATCCTATAACATAAATACATATTATTGAATACTAAAATATAAATAAAATCGTAATTTTTTCAAAAAATTATATTTTAAAAATTATTTTTATGAAAATTTATTTAAAATAGTTTTAAAATTAAGTAATTTTTTAAAATTTTAATATTAAAAAAATTTCAATAAAAACATAAAATACTTAAAATAAGAATAATTATTCAAACTATTTTTTATTTGAAATTTTCATAAAAAATTTCTTTGCAAATTTTTTTACTCAAAATTATATAATATCATAAGAATCATTTAAAAAATAAAATAATAAACAGACCGTTAACATACAACTTTTATTCCACAAAAATAATTTGAAAGTAACCATTGATATTTGAATATGCTGCAAGTGGCTAACAAATCTTCAATTAGTCCAAACTCTGCCGGCCTTGATATTTCATCTCAATTGGATTTGACGTGGCAACAAGATTTTCTAACACAATAATGGTTTTGTTTAATTTGAGGACTTTTTATTTTCAAATTAGTTTGATAGTCAAAATAATGATTTCTTTACAAGAGAGAATGATCAAAATAATGTTATAACAGAGTACCTATCTTAATAAATTAATAAATAAACATAAAGAGAGCATAATTTTCCGAAACATGCGCATGAATTAGGGCTTGGTGACTTTCTATTTTGTTATTTTTCTTTATAATAAATATTGATTACTACATATAATTTATAAACAAATCATAACATAATATTAGCAGTTAGTACAAAGTAATTGAAACTTTATAAATATATAATGTGTTAATTAGTAATTTTAATAATAGTGTTTAACAATGATACGGGTCAAAAGACATATGTCAGAGTGGTTATATGTGATTATTCGTGGTTAAAGTGATAATTGATGGTGGTGATCAATGATAATAAGATTAATAGTCGGTAGTGGTGATAAATAGTGATTAGAGTTATGATTTTTGGTGATTGGAGTACTGGTTGAAAATATAGTAACAAAGTAAAAGTTAATCACACATAAATGTATCCTGTGAATTTTACGAGTTCACCTAAAGTGTGAGATCCTTAAATATGAGGTCCTTGGTGTTTTGTTTGTCTAAATAATAAATATCATTAGTGAAAAATTACTCACAATGATTAATTATAAATTTGCATGTCTCTGATGCATTCAAGAGGAGAAATTCAATACAGTTTTGTTGTTTATCTTCTAAGCTTTCATTTCATTTACATTTGTTTATTGGTTCTCATCATCAATTCTATATTTTTGAATTGAGTGTTTGAATCGAGTGTTGAATTGATTTCTTTTTTAGCATACATAATTCAATTGGTTGTATTTAAATTTGATCATGATGTTTTAAGTCAATTGTTTGAGTTAATGAAATAAGAATCATATGTGATATTGGTTCAAGTTATGTGAGAAGTAAAATATCAAATTATTTTAAAAAACTTGAAAATTTGAGATTTATTCTTTGTGATTCGAATCACACACCTCCAGCTAGCCATTGCCCAATTTGACTTGAATCACACTTTCTACATGACTCGAATCACACATATTTTCATATTTTCCTATTTGGCTTTGTCCAATTTGAATCGAATCAAGCTTTAAACTTGATTCGAATCACGAGCCTTCATGACTCGAATCAGACTTATAAGGTGACTCAAATAACAGGAAAATATGTAATTTTTTGAATTTTTTTGTTTTGGAATAACTAGGTATTAAAAAAAAATTGTAAATAACCATGTTTCAGAGAAAATTACGCAAATAACCATGTTTCAGAAAATCTCACAAGGGAGGAGCCAACCCAGTTGGCGCTTGCACTGTGCATTTTGCCCTAGGCACCATCCCACTTGGCGCCTCCTCTCTCTTTTAGCCAAGTGAGATAGCGCATGCACTTTAAAAGTGAGAGGAAGCGCCATCTCACTTGACTCCTAGGAAAAAAATGCATTTTTATAAATAATTCGTCCGTTTCTCCGTCATTCCTCACACTTTCTCGCACTGTTCTCTTATTTTTTTCTATGTTATTTGCGTTATAACATCGCCCATGATTTTTACCAGAGATGGTTACGTTATTTTCTTCGCCACAAAACCTCCGCCGAAAATGAAATTCTGGAACATTCACTCCATGGAGCGTCTGAAGAGGGAGTTGATGCAATGACTAGATAGAGACATCGAGGAGGGGGAACAAATTAGAAGGATCCAGCAAAGACGAATAACAACCTCACTTGTGACAGGAAGACCTAATTTTTGGTTGGAGGAAGTCAAAACAGACAGCGACGTAATGTTGATGATGCATGGGTCAGATAAAATTATTTTAACGGTTGTAATTTCGTAGACGATTTATCGTGTTTTATTTCTTGTTCGCGCAAGGTTTATTGTAATAAATGCTGTTAATGAAAAACCCTAATGTTTACAACTTAAAAAAGGAAAGATGTTTTGTAATACAATTTTTTATGTGGTTGAGCCAATAGCCCGATTCGGACAACTTTTGCGATTGTGTCTGACCTGACGACATAAACCACACTTTCTTTCCAGCTTGTCAAGGGAGTCTATTTCAGTTGTGATGCGCTTACTTTTGGGATGACCCTTTTTATTCCTTCGCATTTGGTCATTGTGCCATACTATTTCGCCGTCGTATACAGGCCAATAATCAGGTTTTGCTACCAAAGGGAAGTTGTTGTTGTATACATTGAGCAAGGTTTCAGATTTGTAAATGGGAGACAGAAGTTGTATCGCATCTTGATTATTATAGGCACACGCAGCAATGACATGAGAGCAAGGCAAACAAAAGGCTTGAAACTTGCCACAATCGCACCAACGAGAAGGTAGTATAACCCTATCCTCTTGTCTTGGCAGGCCCTCGTTGTGGTCGATTGTCTCTTTGACAATGAAGTGGTGGCTATGTCGGTCGAACCGTATAACCAGATAGGTGTTGGCTTTGGCACTTTCTGCCTTAATATACTTCATGCAGCTTTCACTCCATAGTTGTCCAGATTACAACACAACATTTCACATTTCACCTCTTTTGGCAAACAACGAAGCCATCCTAAAATATGTTGATTTAACCAAAGCAGTTATTGGGAGGTTTCGTATGCCTTTGAATACCTCGTTCATGGATTCAATTAGATTTCTTGTCATGTGATCCCATCTTTGTCCATTGTCACATGACCTAGTCCATTTTTCTACCAGAATATTATCGATCCACCTATCGGCGTCCAGATTTGACAAATGGATCTCGTTGCGATAATATTTGAACGTAGGTTGTGTCAATATATATCCCACATTCATAACTGCTTTCCTAAGAGCTTTGTCTTTGATCTTCCTCGTGAAAATTTGGACGATATGTCTAATGCAATAGACATGCGTAGAAGGAGGGTCATGCCAACTGTTTGCAGGATTGTTGTATGCACTTTCAATAGATGCATGTCTATCAGAGATTAAACAAAGATCTGGTTGAGGAGCCACGTGTGTTCGGAGATTCTTGAGAAAGAAGCTCCAAGCACCACCAGTCTCTCCCTCGACTAGGGTAAAGGCTATTGGGAAAGTGTTGTTGCTGCCATCTTGTGCAACTGCCATCAGTAGCGTGCCTTTGTATTTCCCATACAACCAAGTCCCATCAATTTGTATAATTGGTTTGCATGACGCAAACCCTATGATGCAAGGTTGAAAAGCCCAAAACACTCGACTGAATATTCCATTTCCATTGAGTTGACTACCATCTGGGGCGTACGCTGGCAGTGTTTCCAGAATGTAAACAGTACCCAGAGAATAAGTCTGAAGTGCATTCAAGTAGCGAGGAAGTTCTTGGTATGACTCCTCCCAGTTTCCATATACCTTTTCAATCGCCTTGGTCTTTGCTAACCACGCCTTTCGGTAAGACGAAGTATAGTTAAATACCATAGTGATGTGGGAGATTATGGTTTTCACCTTCAATGATGGATCGTTGCTGACGAGGGGTAGGATTTCTTGACATATGAGATCATAATTTAGTTTCTGATTATCCTGTGATTGAGTAGAACTGACACACATGTGGGTGGACATAAAACCTATGACCCAACAATCACCTCTTAATATGTATGATGCAGTGAGCTTGAACATACAATCTGGGTGGATACACTTAATCTTGTACCTTTTTGGATTTACACGGTCCACCTTAAAATCGACCGAGTTAAGCATGTGAAATTTTTTTATGGCTCAGATAAATTCTTCTCTATTA